AGTATAAATCCCTTATATAAAACTTACCTTATATAACCTGTGCACATCTTTCCTAAACAGGGTTTTCTTTCATTGGTACCAGAGTGTGAAGCCAGGGCCTGGCCCATGCTAGGCAAGCCCTGCACCACGAGCTATGCCCCCATGTTTAAATTTGTTTCTAGATTACTTAGAATATCTAACTCAACACAGATGCTATGTTAATAGTGGTTATGCTGTATTATTTAAGAAGTTATGACCCAAGTGTAGCTGCTCATGTTCAAAACATTTTTTATGAATATTCTTTGAGGTGTCCACAGTGGAATCCAAAGATGTGGGTCGTGCAGATGTGGATGGCCAGAAGTACTAGATTTGTGGTACTTATTGACTTGGTCTTGGTGCTTGCTTTATATGCTAAGTGCGGTAGTCCAAACACCAGTTTGTCTCAGTGCTCCAATCTGTCTGTGAAACTCACATGTCTTCCATTCCGTGAGCCTCATATGGATGCTTAGCCATTTGTTTTGCCCTAGAGAGATTCCCTAGTAAAGCCCTTACTCCTGCAAGATGCGGGGAGGTGGCCTGGGGGAGGCAAAGCTCATTTTCCACCCTTGGAGCAAATTTCCGTTTTAGCTCCATGCCACCTCTTTCTAGATTAGCAATCTTGTCCTTCCAAATTGTAAAACTTTCTAGGATTCTGCTGCATAATTTGGCCTCTTTTCCTAAAATCCCCAGATAGGCACTTGGCGTGCACATTTCTCCATTCTCATAGCTTTTCAGCCTGCTCTCATATCTGCTCTGTCTGGGTACAGCAAGACAGGGTCTTGCTAAGTTGTCCAGGCTAGTTTTAAACTTGTGATCTCTTGCCACCCCTCTCCCCATACTGGAATTACAGGTGTGTACTGCCACATTCTGCTTCTCAGCCTGCCTTCCATCTTCCAGAAGTTTCTGAGGTGTCAGAAATTATTGTCTTCCCTCCCATCCTTCTTGTTTTCACGATTCTGTACCTTTAAAAAAATATTTTATTCTCATTTCGGGGCATTTCAGGAGGGGAGTAAAGATAAACACACATGCAGCATGTCGCATTGCATCGGATGCCCCATGTTTATATTTGGGCCACAGATATGCTCTGAGGGTTGGTCACAAGTGACCTAAGTGGGATTTATGTTTGGGGAGATTTATGAACACCTCAGCCACTTGTTTGCTCTCTGTACTGTTGCTGCCCCAAGAGAGGGCTGAGAACAGTTGAGAATTCAATGGAATAATACATACGAAGTCTCAACTGCTGAATTTTCCTGCTGTTTGGGCTCTCTGACTGCTGAGTACCTACCCTGTGCCAGGCCCCGCTGCAGTCCTGGGTTGAAGCCATCATCAGTGCACTCTTGGGGGCCCTCAGTCTAAACAGGGAACAAAAGTGACAAATGCCTCGAATAATTTCAGATGGTAAGCGGTGCTGTGACCATGACAAAAGAAGGCCCTGTCATGAAAAAGGAGGCTGTGCTGGGGACGGGCCTGCAAAGGCCTCCCTGAGTCTGAGCTGGGGTTTGGCTGACAAGAGGGACCCATCTGCCTGTGTGGAGATCTGGGGAGGAGGATTTCGGGAAGTACAGAAAGCCTGAGCGGGGAGCCAGACGTGCGAGCAGTGTGTCTGGGACATAGGAGGCCGGCAGGGCAGGGCTGCGAAGCTGGAGTTGGGAGGTCGCCTGAACGGAGGTGATACATGAAACTGCGGGATGAGATGGCCCAGAACAGAGTGGGTGGACAAGTATGTCAGACCCTGGATACCGCAGGGGCGTTGTCTAAAACCCTCTGTCTTGGGCCGGGGAGATGGCTCAGTACAGTAAGCCTGGCAAGGATAAGGGTCTGAGTTCAAATCCCCAGTTCCACCAAAAAAAAAAATTAACAAATAAAGCCCTCTGTCTCAAGCAAACAAACAAACGAACAAAACACCTCTGTCTCGTCAAAGAATGTGCAGTCTAGTGAAACTGAGGAGTCCAGAGAAATTTCCATGCTGAGTGCCATGAATTTGTTTTCATTAAAAGTACAAATAATGGGGCCCAGGAGATGGCTCAGTGGAATAAGCGCTTGCCTGGCAAGCGCAAGGGCCTGAGGTTCAATCCCCAGTTCTGCCAAAAAATAAATAAATAAATAAAATAAAAAGCACACTGTTTAAAAAAAAAAGTACAAATAAAGAGCATAAAAGAAAATTTCAAAACACAGAGCAATAGGAGACAATATAAAAATAGAGTCGTTTTATGACATCACAGGTATTTTTTTAAAAGGTGAAGCTGCAGGCCGGGGATATAGCTCAGTGACACAGTGCCTACCTGGCAAGTACAAGGTCTTGAGTCCAATTCCTGGTACGAGGAAAAAAAAAAAAAAAAAGGTGAAGTTGGTGGTAAAATGTAGCTTTGTCAGAGGCCATATCTCAGCCCACTGTGAGGAGATGGGCTCTACATACAGCTGCTGAAAGACAGAGAAAGCAAGCAGAAGAGGACTGGGGAAGTGCTGGACGCAGGTGCTGGTTGGTGGAGGGTGACTGCGCTGTGGGAGGTGGGGTGTCACGTGGGCTCCAGAACTTTGCTTCAGAGAGGGCGGAAAGTACTAAGGCTCTCAGAAGTTAGAGCTGGAAGACCGTGAAGACACGACTACCAGGGTTCACAGTGAATAGTTATAATGCCTCTCCACTCAGTTACTTTTTATTATATCAATTAATAATTATTTTTAAAAAATGAAGTAGGCAGGGGACTGGGGAGATGGCTCAGTGGAATAAGCCTTTCCCTGGCAAGCACAAGGGTCTGAGTTCAATCCCCGGTTCTGCCAAAAAAAAAAAAGAAATAGGCAGAAGAGGAGACAATCTCCTTCCCGTTGTCATCCACCTTGTCTCCCTTCTCCCTGAGAGGCAGCCACAGTGGATTTCCCTTCTGTCTGTCCTGGTTTTCGTCATCCGTCTTACCTCTTGCCCCTGTGCCTGCTTCCTTCAGCTGCCACAACAAGTACCATAGCCTGGGTGACTTTGTGTGGAGAGAAGAGGCAACAGGTGTGCATTGCTGGCCGCGTGGCCCTTGGGATCCTGGGCAGGGCCCTCCTTGCCCCTCCCTTGCTCCTACGTGCCATCATCCGCAATGTGCTTGGCCCACCACCCTCACCATCTCCACCTCTGTCATTACGTGGGTCTTCACCTTCTTACAAGGCCCCTCATCTTGCTGGGGTAGGGCCCATCCTAATGACCTCTTCATTACATCTGCAAAGGCTATTATTTTTCTTCTTCTTTTTTTTTTTTTTTTTCTTTTTGGTGAATCCAGGGATTGAACTCAGGCCCTTGTGCTTGCCAGGCAAGTGCTTATTCTACTGAGTCATCTCCCCAGCCCTTATTTCTTTTTCTTTTCCTTTATGTATTTGATACAGGGACTCGCTATGCAGCTTGGACTCATAGTGATCCTCCTGTTTCAGCCTCCCTAGTGCTGGGATTATAGGCGTGTACTACCATGCCTGGTCTCAGTGGCTGGCTCAGTGCACCTCAGGGTGGGACCAGCAGGACCTATGGTACTGGAGATTGAACCCGGGTACCTGCGCTTGCCTAGGCAGGCGGTTAGTCCACTGAACTATCTCACCAGCCCAAGGCTAGTATTTCTAAATTAGATCATACTCTCATGTATGGAGTAGGTAGGACTTCAACCTACCCTTTGAGAAAAACATAATCTAATCTGAACCAGAACACCCCATTTCTTTTTTTTTAAGACAGGATCTCACTATGTAGTTCAGGCTGGCCTTGAGCTCACTTTGTAGCTCGGCTAGTCTCAAACTCACAGCCTGAGCCTCTTGCTTCAGCCTCCTGAGTGCTGGGATGACAGGCCCGTGCCACGACACCCAGCCACACGCCACTTCTCACAGAAATTTTCACATAGTGTTAAAATTTGCCACACATTTTAGGCTTCTTTCCAGATTTATACATATAGAGCTTTCTGATTCTGTTTTGGAGCTGCAGAGTGTCACATTGTATGGCTGTATCGCGGTCCCTTACATCAGCTCCCTGATAACGGACACTTGATTTGTTGCCAGTCTTTTGATATTTTATTGAGCACTTCAAGGATCACTTTGAGTGTGTGCAGGTCTATCACAAGTGGGTTTCTGGGTCCAAGAATAACACGTGTAATTCTGGCAGAGGTGCCAGATTCTTTGCACAGGGCTTGTGCTGTTTTACTTTCTCACTAACAATTGTGATCATCCTGTGACTTTTGCCAAGCTATTAAGTGGAAAATGGTACTTTCATTTAATTGAATAATGCTATTCATTTTTTTCCGAGTACCTCATATATTTTAAATAACTTTATAAAAAAATTTTTTGTAAACATTTGGCCCAGAAAAACTCTGCCATAATGAAAACTTCTAACTTCAAGTACATAGAATCAAAGTAAAACATCATAATGGAGATATATTTACGATGGGTTATTTGCCAGGGTAGGGAATGGGAACCAGCTGCCTTATGTCTGTGGTTTAAGGAACAGCAATTAGGCTGAGGAGTTAGCGCAGCAGTATAAATACCTGCCTGTTAAGCGCAAGGTCTTGAGTTCAAGCCCTACTACAGAAAAACCAGCGGATTCATTTTCATCAGGTTAGCAGAGAAATTCCTTACAGGGAAGGTGAGTACCTACTCCCAGTCCTCTTCTGTCCCTTCGGTGCTTTCCAGCTGAGCGACTGGATGTGTGGTGCAGGAGGGAACGTCACATAGGAAAAGTTGTGCTCCACAGCCGGGCCTGCTCCTCACGGGCATTGCTTCTCACCTGCCCAAGTACGGTCACTTTCTCATGTCCTGAGGGAAGCACCAGTGTGGTGTGAAAGCCGCCGGCTTTCCTCAGTGTGCAGCAATGGGCTGTGTAACGTTCTGACTCTAAACTGTTTCCACAGCATCCTTCTTGGGCACTACCCGGAGAACCATCGTTGTTGTCTCTCCTTCTTAGGAAGGGTCGGAGCTGTCTGTGTTACTGGGCTGCATGCGTGCATTTCAGTCCTGTCCCTTTGTTGTAGGTGGTACTGTGAAGGCAAGGAGCTTGAAAACTCACCAGACATTCAGATTGTGCAGGCCGGAAACCTGCACTCGCTGACCATCGCTGAAGCCTTTGAAGAGGACACGGGACGCTATTCCTGCTTTGCGTCTAACATCTATGGGACAGACTCAACTTCTGCTGAGATTTATATAGAAGGTAAAGAAAAATACCCTTGAAAGGTGATAATTACTAGTAGAATAAATTTAATTAGAGATGCTGGCACATACCTGTAATCCCAGCACTCGGGAGGCCAAAGCAGGTGGAGCACTGTGAGTTTGAGACCCGCTTGGCCTACAGAGTGAGCTCAAGCCCAGCCTGAACTGCGTAGTGAGACCCTGTCTCAAAAAAAAACAAGACAGGGGGCTGGAGAGATGGCTCAGTGGTCTAAAGCACCTACTTGGAACAAGCTTGGCAAAACACAGGGACCGCGGTTCGATCCCCCAGCACCACATGCCAGCCAGCCCTGCCCCCTGGTGGGCTGAGCTGGCCACACACACACACACACACACACACACACACACACTAAATAAATGTTAAAATAAATAAATAATTAAAAAAAAAAAAAAAAGACAGAAGAGGAAGAGGAAGGAAAGGGGAAGGGAGGGGGGAGGAGGAGGAGGAGGAAATGAAGAAAGCCAAACAGTGGATAGAACCTGTGCAATTATATGTATGTGTGTGTGTGTGTGTGTGTGTGTGAGAGAGAGAGAGAGAGAGAGAGAGAGAGAGAGAGAGAGAGAGAGTGCGCGCACGCACATGGGCACGCGCATGCATGAAAGTATGCTGACTCTAATTCTGACAGGGTAGCCAGTGAAGACCTTGTGGATGGCATTTACATGGAGGTCTGGAGGAAGCAAAGGAGCGGGCACAAGGATGTGCAAGCGGAAAGCACTGTAGGCAAAGAATTCAGCAAGTGCAGCGGCCCTAAGCGAGCACACCGGTACCAAGGTGGATGGGCTGGTGTAGGGCACAGCAGGAAGGAAGAAACAGGACACAATGCCTGCAGGTGCAGGGGAGGAGAGGCAGAGGAGACAGGAGGCAGAGCCTGCCAGTCCTGCTGGCACATGGCAGGGTTTGGTCTTGCCCATGGGAAGATGGGAAATTCCAGCGAGTCTGAGATCATGTAGCTGGGAACCGAGGTAGCAGCAGGCACTGGGTCAGGAGTACCCCACAGGCCTCCACACCGGTCCCCATCTTCAGTGATTAATTTCAAGGAAGAAGTCAGTTTGTTCCTCAGGTATCTGTGTGTTTGTTCCTGTTTGTTCTCATCCTCTGAGGTTTTTCCCTGAGGACACTCTGCCTATTATATCATTGTGGTATCCATACTCGTTTATCAACTAGATTGTAAGGCCAGGACTGTATCATGCTTTGTAAAAAAAATCTCCAAAACCTTACATAATACCAAGGATGTAGTGACTATTTGACAAACACTTATTGAGTAAATCTATGAATAGGAAGGTGTTGAATGTTTTTATCCCAAGAATTCAGAGTATAATAAATACCTCCCAATTTAGCTCCATTTTATCTTCCTGGAATTCACTATCTTGAGAAGCAAATCCAGGATCAAGTTCCTGCCTACAGTGCCGAGATTGGATTGCTGGGTTTATTTTCTTTTAGCAACAGGACTTGGAACACCCCCACCCCTGAGATGCAGGATGACCTGTTAATGTTAGGACAGGACGGAAGAGCAGCCTCCTACACCTGCGGTGTTTCAAAGCCGGAGTCCTCTGTTTCTGTGCAGCCTGTGCAGCCCCGAGCCTGAGTGTGGGTGAGGAGCAGAGTGTGTCCGTCTGCAGGGGCTCCTCTGCTAGGCCGAGACAGCAGCAGCTGTGTTTTGTACTTGAATGTTAGATGCTGGCTCAGTTCATTTTTTTCTTTTACTAATTAGGCTCATAGGTACATTATAGGTGTATATAATGATCATATTCATCATAGGGAGTTTGTACCTCTACATGATATAATTGATTCCTCTTTCCTCCTTCCTTACCCTCCCTTCAACTTCTCTTCCCCTCCTTATTTACAACAGCTTTGCTTCCATTTTTTCTTATTTTTTTCCTTCTCCTCTCCCTCTTTCCCAGTTTCCCTTCCCATTTGAACATTTTCTTCCTATTTCCCAATATCTATTACACATTTTGGCTCTTATTGACATTTTCGGTTTCTCACACCAGAGAAACAATGCGGTGTTTACACACGTGTTGGGCCAGTTAATTTGAATTCTAGCGTTAACTATCAACGTGACCTTGAGCAACACCTTCAGCTTCTTAGGGTCTGTTTCTTCATTGAATATTAGGGTAGAGAAACACTGAGTTCATTTCTAAATCTAAAATTCTAAATATCTTCAAATTCAATGTGGGAACTGGTTTAAAAATTATCATCTTCAAAATCTCACGTCTTGCTTTTATTTCTCCAGGAGTTTCTTCCTCTGACTCAGAAGGGGACCCTAACAAGGATGAGATGAATCGGTAATCCTAATTTTTGTCCTGCAGCCTTCCCATCCTGAGATCACACGCCATCACACCTTTTCCCCTTCAGGGAAACACCTAATTGGCTGGGCAAGGTGCTCCACGGCTGCACTGAGGCTGTGTGGGAAGCTGAGGTGGGAAGACTCCAGGTGGAGGCCAGAGTGAGCCGTAGCAACACCTTGTCTCGAAGTAAAACTACAAAGCACTGTGGGTGTAGCTGAGAGCACCCTGGGTTCAGGCCCAGGCCCAGGGGAAAACAAACAAACTTCTAATTGGATTCTAAGCCTTGCAAAGGGTGACTTCAGGGTATGATCTAAAATTAAATTCATTAATTTAAAATGGCAGAGCAGATTTGGAGAAGATTCTATGGCTTTTGCATAAGTCCTGCTTAACAGTTTCATTCAAATATTCTCAATAGTAGGAAAACAAAGCATCATCTTTGAAAAATCATTGTACTTTTATCTACTTAGTAAAAAAACAAATACCCAATGATTTAGTTTAGTTTAGTTTTGTTTGAGATAGGGACTCACTGTGTAACCCAGACTGGCCTTGAACTCGTGGCAACCTCTTGCCTCAGCCTCCCATGTGCTGGAATGATAGGTGTGCACCATCAGCCCAGAAAAAGTGTATAAATTTGAAGAGCTCTTTGAGCTTAGCTTATTTCCACTTTTGGACATTATGACCCTGGTAAAAATTTGCAAAGCCCCTCCTCCTACTTGAAATGGGAAGAAGAAATACGGAGAACAGTCAGTCTTGGAGAGTTACCGTCTGCGCTGTGATACAGTGAGACTCCCTGCTACTCTGCAGGTGACTCTGCAAATGGTGCCTCGCTCATCTCCAGGTCTGCACTGCCTGCCAGGGTGTGTGGCCAGAAGCTCTCAGTAAACACATGTAGAACATTGCCCGGCGGGGTGTGATTGCCTCCAGCTGCCTGCATTGTGGCTTTATTCATTTTGCTGGCTTTTGGCAGTTACAACTGTTTCATAATCCACATGTATCTTAACCATTTCTCAGAATCCAGAAGCCAAATGAGGTGGCCTTGCCTCCCACCACCTCTGCAGCCCTTACTCCAGCAGTGTCCCCAGCCCCACACGTGGCGGCCCAGCCCAGAGTGACAACCGTCCAGCAGGTACAGTGTCCAGACGAAGTGCGAGCACCACAGCACATGGCCATCCTGTGGGGCACACTTGTGCTGTCCTCTGTTGCCGCTCTGTCAGGGTGAAGGTCACTTTGTGCTCCCGATGCAGGAGAGGGCGGCTGCCCCTGCTCCAGTGTCACGGGCAGATGTCCAGGAAAGGGGCCTGTCCTCAGATTAGGCTTGGACACTCTGGCTTATTACAAGTGCCGATTACTTAGCTGATGAGCCCTTGGGCCGACCTGGACCCTCCGCAGCATAAAACTCAGAAAGATTTTATTGCCTAAGAGCAAGAAGTTACTTTCACAAAGTAGAAAAGACTCTGTCTTTCAAGTTAGTAATTTAAAGATTTGGAAAGTATAGGAGCATATTAAGGAAAACCTTTAATCAAGGTTTCTACCCCACTGCTCAGAAAAACTTCCTGCCAGCAGCTTCAGACAGTTCCAGGCATTATCTAGGCGCATGTAAGAGTACATATTTATGCATGTACTTTAAATCACATTAAATCATATGACCTAAGCTTTATAAAATGTGATGCTATATTGTTTCCTGATGATAAATATATTTATGTCTATTGATCTCCAACCTTTTATTATTAAAAATCAGAATTATTTGCCCAATCCATTCAGTGAGGCAGAGGGATCGCCTTTTAGTTCTGAGTCAATGGTTTTCTACAGTGATGTGTGTTGCCCAGGGTGTTATGAGGTCCCTGCAGGGAGCGCATGCTAATTATGTGGAGCTGTGCTCTGAGCAGGGCATGATGCGTGTCCACAACCTAGAAAGAAAGGCACTCAGCATCAGCTAGTCTGAAGGCTGTGATCATAAACCTAGGAAATACGCCCTTTGACTTGAGATTGATTTATGCATCAAATTCTACACATTTGTTATACCCGTCAATCCAGGTCATAATTTCACAGATAATTAATCTGTTGTTTGTTGCCTCCTAACAGTGCCAGAGTCCTACCAGCTATTTACAGGGATTGGATGGAAAACCTATCATTGCGGCTCCAGTGTTTACAAAGGTAATCAATACATGACTTCTTTCTGTCCTGGCTTTAGTGACAGCAGAGCACTCACACAGCTACAGACTCTAGGTTGACTGATTTTATTTCAGCATTTGGGCTCATAAGAAACTTAAGAGGGGGCCAGGGAGATGGCTCAGTAGAATAAGCACTTGCCTGGCAAGCACAAGGGCCTGAGTTCAATCCCTGGTTCCACAAAAAAAAAAAAAGAAAAAAAAGAAAAAAAAAGAAAAAAGAAACTTAAGAGGTTTTTGTTGGTTACTACAGTGTCTCTACAACTCCCGGATTTCTAAGTACAGGTGCTTTTGTTGTTTGGCTTTTGCTGGGGGTGGTGCTGTTGTTTTTGTTGTTATTTTTCCTAATACAGGGGATGGGGCCCAGGGCCTCATGATGCTAGGGAAGTGCTTTGTCAATAAGTTATGTTTCCTGCAACTACCCTTTACCCACTTTTTGAGATAGGATCTTGCCAAATTGCTCAGCCTATGCAGTCCTCCTGCCTCAGCCACCTGAGTAGCTGAGACTACAGGCACACACCACCCACACCAAGCTTTAATAACAGTTCCTGTGATGAGAACATTGCCCTCACCACAAAGATCTCTAGGACCACTCTTAGGCTGGAAGGCAGATGCACCCAAAGATCAGGTGATACCGTGCCAGCCACATATTACTACAGAGGTTTCTCTGCACTTTCAGGAATAGCTGGCTTAGAGATCTGTCTTTGGTGTTCAAGGACTTGGAGTTAAATGCTCTTGGGAGGTTTAACATAAAGCCCCTCTCAAGGAGAAAGCTTTTTCTTTCTGCTCCATGATATCAGATACTCTGACTCACATAGAGCCAGAGCGATTAGGCTGTTGCCAGTGTCACAGGACTAGTTAGTGGCAGAAGTGGGACTAGAAACAAGTTCTTCCACATCTTAGTTTGTACACTCTTATACAACACAGAGTATGTTTAGCTGTTGTTCAAAAAAGCACGTTCAAAGGTTAAAAAATTGAGTCAAGGAATTTGGGGGAATCATGAAGACCACATGGGTAGACTTGCTCTGGATTTAGTCCATTGTATAAATATTAAACTCCGGCCCACAGAAATTTTATCCTCTAAAAAATATCTTTTGGCTTAGAACAGTGGCTATAAACCGTGGTTGGTCTTGTTCTCCACAGGGTATTGGGACTGTCACAACAGTTTGGTTGTCACACTTGAGGACTTGCACTAGTGTATCCAGGGATGCTGATAAGCCTTGTCTAGTACATAGGACAGCACCCCTCCCCAGAGAGCAACCTCCTCCTGCAAATGTCAGTTGTGCTGAAGCTGAACGGTCCTAGTAATAAGGAAAATGGCAAGCATGACCTTTTCCAGCAAGAACCACCACTTAAGAGCTAAATCCACAACTCCTACAGAAGCCTTGGTTTCCCAGAAGTTCTGCCATATTGGCTCCTGCATGATGGCCTCTAAACCCCAGGAAGAATGGGCCGTGCTATATATTAATTATTGTAACTGTCCTAACCTATTTTAAAATTGTCTCATTACTACTTTTTTCTCAATAAATTTAATATAAAAAAAAAAGAATGGGCCATGCTTCCCACCTCCGTGTGTTGAGGCACACCTTCTTGCTTCCCTCCTCCGTGTGTTCAGGCATCCTTCTGACGTGAGACGAGATGCCCCTCATTTTTTCAGGTTCTCTTCCTTGAACTTGTATCTGAGGTTTCAGCCTTATTAATTTCAAAGATGTGAAGTAGGAAAGTAACGTGTCCCTTGGTGGATATAAGGGCAAGGAATTGTAGGCAGATGTGATGTGATGTGTGTGTGTGTGTGTGTGTGTGTGTGTGTGTGTGTGTGTAAAATATAGCTAATTGAACTAGTTTTATTATTACTGCCAAGTTAGGTAGCCTTTAACACACAGCGTAAGTGCTGGAAGTCAGTGCATGTAATTTAATTTGTCACCGTCCTCTGTCACTCCTCGGAGGTAGCTGAACCACAAAGGAGCTGACACCCAAGCCCAGGAAAGCTGCTCCCTTCCCACCCTCAGCACCATCGCCCAGCCAGATGGGTAACCCCAGAGGGTCAGGGACTCTGCTTTCCATTTTTTTTATCCTTTATCTCTATCAGAGATAAAATTGTTCACTGTTCTGCTTGTCCCTGTCACCTGATAGCTCCAAAGTTATCACATTAAATCATATGACCTACTGTTGAAAAGTCCATGGATAAAGGTGTAGCTTATTATTAATTTTATTTAGTTACAGTAATAGTGGATAGGAGTGTCCTTAATTTATTTTTGTTTGTTGTATGTTACGGGTCGGTGCTGAAAGAAAGGACGAGAAGACCTGATGAATGTAGCTTCAGAGGTCTCACTGAGATTAGTCTCTCTCCAAGTGAACCCAGAGCCTCAGAAGCATCTCACATTTATTGAGGGGTAAAGGCAGACTAAGGAATGTGCATAATTACCTAAGTGAATACAAACTACTATCTCTATTGACTTCCACCATTTGCCTACTAACACTAGGTTCACACAAATGCTAGCCGATAACATCTCAAGCAAGGGATCAAAGGAGAGGGCGCCTGCAGGAGAGGCTGTTATCTGCTGCCTTGGGTCCCAGCTTTCCTGGAATTTGCAAACAGACAGCAACCCTCCTTGGGCTCAGTCCAGTGTTCCCTACTCTCTTGGGACATCAGGCTTTTGTCTCAAAACTATGTCTCTACATTGTTTTATTTTGTTTTGCTTTGTTGCGGGACGGGGGATTGAACTCAGGACCTTGCACTTGCCAGGCAAGCACTTACGGCGCTGAGCTCTATCCCCAGCTTACAGGTACAGCTTAGTGATGGAACCTTTACCTGGCAGGAATGAGGCCCTGGGTTCAAGCCCCAGCATCTCCCAAAAAGGAGAAAAAGTCTGATAGGAACCTTTAACCTCTACTCTTCCCCTTTCACAAATTAGCGTGCGGGCAGCTTGGCTGCTGGTGTGTGGTCGCCTCTGATGGCCTTCTTACCACTGAGTGCCGACTGACAAGAGTGGGAACATGAACACATCGCAGAGAGATGCAGAAACATTTGAAAAACAAAAATAGAAAGATGACTTAATTATCAGACATTTCTTGGGTAAAATCTTTAGAAGCTGTTCAGTGATGTCTGCCACATAAGGAAACAGTCCTCAGCACACGGACGCAGCCTCCGTGAGGAGGGTATCTCCCCCTCCAGATGTGTGCTTTTGCCTTCATAAATGGGATCAGGACTATTCAGACTCAGGCACTAGGACAGGCCAGACTCAGGTGCCAGAGGGACTCAGCAGCGGCACGTGCTTGCGTTAGTTCCATCTGTAAGGGCGAGGCTGAGGTCAGGGCCACTGCCAGTGTCCCTAGGACTTCTGAGTCAGAACTCCCAGCCATGGCGTGGCCTGGGCCTGCTCCTTTCATGATGCACTTTCTCTGCTGCCCAGAAAACTCTTCTTTGCCAATTATGGTGAGAAGCCATTTGTTTTAGCAACAGTTAGCACAGTTTTATTTAACTCTCCCCCCCCCTTTTTTTTTTAGTGGTAGGGAACCATTTCCCTTCTTATTTAAAAAGACTAAAAAATATAGGGGAGTTGGCCAGCAACATGGTGGTAGAGCGGGATTCCACATACTGTTCCTCTGTGAGATTCCAGAGACTCCTGCTTGATCTGCGGGCAGATGATCCTCTCAGCGTTTTTGTTTATTTGTTGCCCTGGGACGAAGCCCAGGACATCACGTGTGTGAAGCCAGAGCTGTGCCCCTGGGCTGCACCTGCCCCTCTCAGGTGAACTCCTTAGCTGCAGGGCTGCCTCTGGGGGCAGGGGGACGTACTTCTGGGGGGAGGGAGAGGAAGTGGGTGGGAGCTCACTTCTGGGTGGGGGAGGGAGAAGAAGGGGGCGGGGGCGCACTTCTGGGTAGGGGAAGGGGTGAACCAACCACAGTCTCCACCGAGGTGGCAGTGGTGGCTGGGGAGCAGGCAGGCTTCCAAGGGACACTGCTCTGGCTCCAGCTGCTTCAGCAGTAATTTGAAGAGGGCAAGGGGGCAGGGGAAGTATGAATTTGGACAGCAGTCCATTATATCGTCGCAGAGGCAGGAAACTCTGAAATAACTGGGGCCATAGCTGGATTCAGATTACTGAAGATTTCATAGAGCCCTGTACCCAGCCCATCCACTGTAGACAATTTTCTGGCCCTGCTTTTGTATAGGCACCTATGCCAGTCAGGGGACAGAGGACCTCCTGTCAGTTCCTTATTAGGAAGACTTATTCTGATTCAGCTTTAGCCTGAAGTACTGTACACGTGTGCTTGTACCATTGTCCAAGGTGCAAAAATATCAGCTAGATTTAACAAGGAATAAAATGAAGAAATGTACCTTGAGGCTGACACATTTTAACCAATCAGAGACATGCTTTTGCTCAAGGCCACCCTGCATCTTATGTGCGGGCAGAGAAATTGCACCCTCTCACTTCACCTTGAGAGCACTCAGCCCAGAGTTTGGCAAATACATGGTCAAACTTATTCTGTGGTAAATGCCACTATGTCAGCTAGGATGGAGTTTCGTGTGGCTCCAGAGTGTCTTTAGGAAAGAAGAGAAAATACATCCAGTGAGCACTGGCTGTGCAAGACAGGCCACCAAGGCTGTGTGTAGAGTCACCCGACCAAGAACGTCACCCCAGACAGTCAGCACAATGACCAGAGAAGGATATGTACTTGGAACGTTATCAACTTAGGAGGTTCTGGACCTTTGGTTAGAGTGACTTTAGTCCAGACCCATAATTCCTAGTAAAGAGTTACTTCATCTCTGCCAGGTAGGGTCTGTTTCATTTGTCTTTAGGTAAGTCAAAGTGAATGTGACCAAGTCTGTGTACATCATAGGTATTAGTCTGTTTGGGTTACTCTAAAGAGGTTCCTGCGGCTTGCCACTTTATGAAGGAACAAGACTGGCTGAGCTCACAGTTTTGAGATCAAGAGCAAGGCTTAGCTCTAGCGAGGCCTTCGTGGGAGATGGCATCATATCAGGGGAACAGAGCATCACACGATGAGACAGGAAGCCAGAATAAAGGAGAGGGTCAGAAATGACCTCCCACTCGGCCCAGCTCCTACAGATCCTAGCCTCTTGTCATTGCACAGGAGACCAAGCCTCCCACACACGGGCCTGTACAGGACATGCTGTTCCCACGTGCTGAGCACAGCTTGTGCTAGAGGGGCCAACCCAGGCCCTCCCGCTGTGGGGAGCACAGGTAGTGGCGTCTGTGTACGTTCCGATGGTGCCGCCCAATGTGTGACCATATGAGCCAGCTGCTCTTTAGGACACTTTGTAGGAAGAGCATAGCTTTCAGCATGGACAGCTGTCACTGTCCTCATAACATCCAATAACTCTTCCTAAATGGTTTTTAAGATCCTAGGATCTCTTGTATTGAATATTGATTCGCGCTGGGATAATCTTCCACTTCCTATCATAGACATCAGTGATCCTGTTCCACACACCATAGAACCACGAGCATTGAACCGGGGACTGAACTCAGGGCCTTGCACTTGCCAGGCAAGCGCTTATTCCACTGCGCCACCGCCCCGACCCAACAAGCATCTTGGCCAGCTTCCCAAACAGAGCACAAGTCTTGGCTTTAATGTCAAGTAAATAGTGGCAACCACCTATGCTGGTCTAAGGGAGGGGGACATAGTTTCTCCAGGATGTCCTTTGGAACTGGGCTTTGGCGTTCCCTCTGCAAGACTGACCGCAGCTTGCTTATATGAGCCGAACTGCAAGCCGTGTTAGCAAATATCGAAGACCGCATTTTGCTCATATCCGCTTCATAGATGTGCCAAATTTCATTTATTCAGTTTCTTCTGCTGCCACTGCCTTGCAGGGGCAGAGAGGCAGTCCTAATTTGTCTGTCTGTGTCAAGAAAAAATAAAAACTCCCTATGGCCTTGCGGTTTAGCTCAGTTGATTAAGCGCCTGCTTGGGCAACCCAGTCAGGCACAGGGGACTGCAGTTCAATCCCCAGCTCTACCTGCCTGACCGGACCCACCCTTAAGGCAGCCTGAGGCAACCAAAACAAAGACACCTTGCATTACTACATAGCGTGACCCTGCCTTTAAAAACTCCCTGTGTGTGAATTCTAAGAGATGTCAGTAGGCCCCAAAGCTGCCATTTCTGCACAGAATTTGCTCAGAGGCCAGAATAGAGAATATTCCTATCAGTTTGCCAGGATACCCGTGACTCATGGACACTTCCTGCCTTTCATTCTTGTCTCTAGATGTTGTTTGGGGCAAATGAGGAATAATAAGATTTTCAACCAAATAACTCTTTATTAATTCAAATAAAAGTCTGCAAGGGAAAGTGATCAATGATGTAGAGTATGCCTAAGGAGAGTCACATGGAGAGAAAACATTCTCTCAGGCTTTCACAGAGAGCACATTGGCCAAGGAATGGCCGTGACTCATCCACATGGCTGACACTGACAAAGGTTCTACAATCTGAGGTGCAGGATCTCAGGATAAATCCTGAGGGGATTTCACTGACCTTATCAGACCCAAAAGCTACAACTCTTGTATAGGTCCTGCTTTACCTTGGTCTTGGCCATCTAGCAGAAAAGTATAAAAACGAAATATAAGAAGTAAAACCATGCTGTTATGTTGAGCTGTGGGGGACTCAGGTCAACAATTTCTGACATTGCCAGTCAAGCAGAAGACCCAATACTATTATGGGCTACTGGACTCTTTTAGAATATTTTGCTGAGTTTACACACCTATAATATTCAAATAACGGAACTTAACAAACAAACAGACAAGAACAACAACAAAAAGTCTGCAAGGGCCAGCAAGATAGCTCAGTGGACTAAGCACCTGTAGGGACCAGGGTTCAATCTGCAGCACCACATGCTGTGCCGGCCCCACCTCTGGGGTATGCTGAGCCAGCCACCAAGACCAGGTATGGTGATGCACACCTGTAATCCCAGCGCTGGGGAGGCTGAATACAGGATGATCACTGAGTCTGAGCTGCTTAGTGAGACCCTGTACAAAATACATAAATTTTAAAAAAAAAAAAAAAAAACCTAGTCTGCTATTCCCACCATGAATTACTTCAGCAAACCAATTCCTGACAGTACAAAGTACAACACACTAACATCAAACTATAGTGCCCCCAGCTTTAAAATACAAATTTAAATTTACCTCTGAATTTATTTATTTAAAAAAAATTTTTAAGTCCTCTCAACAGTTTTTATCTTCTTTTTTTTTAAAAAAATTTTTATTTATTTAGTGTGTGTGTGGCCAGCTCAGCCCACCAGGGGGCAGGGCTGGCTGGCATGTGGTGCTGGGGGATTGAACCTGTGCTTTGCTCACGCTTCGTTTGTTCTAAGTAGGTACTTTAAACCACTGAGCCATTTCACCAGCCCTTACCTCTGAATTTAAAACAAGTCTTACCACAGCTAACGCCTGTGGTTATCCACTGCCCTTGTATTCCTTAGATAAGTGCTATAATTATGACACAGATGTGTTACAAGTATCACAAGTTGTTCACACAAGAGCTGTAAAATTTCTCACAAGCAGCTGGGCATGGTGACGCATACCTGTAACCCCAGCACTTGGGAGGCTGAGGCAGGAGGATCACCATGAGTCGGAGGCTAGCCTGCACTACATAGTGAGACCCTCTCACCTAAAAAAACTCACAAGTTATTTATGAGTAAATGATAAAAGCAACAGCAGTGACACTAACTTTCCTCTTTTGTTAAGCCAAAAATGTGTCAGAATAGCCAGCTTCATAGCAGTTGCTACAGAAAGTTTATAAAGCAAGTCTAGTCAGAATCTCTCCATGTCTGCAGTCTTTGGTCCAGAGTGAAAAATAAAAATATGCTTACATACATGAAGTATTTCCTAATCAAAGGAAGTACCAACCACATGAAAGACCACGCAATTTTAAGTTCCCAAATCATAAGGAATGAGGATGTACTGTGAAGGAAAATACATATTCCTTTCTGTCATGAACCTAGGTCTCGCTCACATTGTACAATTTTACATGGCTTGGTGGACCTTTCATCATGGAATGACTCCTCAGCATTGTAACATAGTTTACAATGGTATAAGACTCTTATGTGACTATGATCTTATACAGATTGTCACTGCTGTGTCCCTCAGCAGTCACCGAGTTCGCACTGTAAAGACCACCTAAGAAGGCTGCGGGTGGCTCTGGGTAGAATGTGTGCTCAGGGTCGGGGAGGTCTTGGACTCAACCCCAGCACCACCACCATCAACAAAGAACCTCATAAAGACAACAAAACAGCAAAACAAAAATCAGTCTCCAGGACAACAAAACGCAAACTCAAGGCAGGGAAGTCACAGTCGGTTGTTGGGCCAGAGAACTGCTCCGTTTCCTGAGCAGCCATATTCCCTTGAAGAATAATCCATTACTTCCATGCTGAATTCTCTCGTAGAGCCTCGCTGAAGTTTTTTTAAATCATTGCAGTTAGTTCTGGAAACCTGACTCCACTTGGGCATTTAAGATCAGACATTACTTTATCGAAAATGAGCTACTTTACTCAGTATGCTTTGCCTCATATTTAATAAATTAATGTAGCACTATAACAAAAGTAAAAGAAGAAAATAGTGAAGAAAGAGCTTTGTAGGGATCGGATGGTTCTGTCTCAAGCATAGACTCCATGTACATCCATAAAACTGAAACTGCTGAAGGTGTACATTTGAAAAAAGCCAAGTATGGAGGACATAGTTGAAATGAAATTCAGCATTAGGACTAGATTCCAAAATGCATACTTTTTTTTGTTCTAATGGTATTCTTCTCATTCTAGATGCTACAGAACTTGTCAGCCTCTGAGGGTCAGCTGGTTGTCTTTGAATGCAGAGTAAAAGGAGCACCATCCCCCAAAGTTGAGTGGTATAGGGAAGGGAGCTTAATAGAAGATTCTCCAGATTTTAGGATTTTACAAAAAAGTAAGTGATACTTTAAAACTATTTTTCTGATCATTTATTTTTACACGTTTTTATAAACTGATTAAAAATACAGTAAAAAAGGAAAGTAAAATAAAAAAACCACCTGTAATTATATTCCCCAAAACTAAATGCTGTTAATATTTTGGTGTATATTCTCCAAGAACTGGGCTGGTGAGATGGCTCAGTGGTCTAAAGCACCTACTTAGAACAAGCTTAGCAAAGCACAGGTGACTGCGGTTCAATCCCCCAGCACCACATGCCAGCCAGCCCCACCCCCTGGTGGGCTGAGCTGGCCACACACACACACATAAATAAATAAAATTTTTAAAAAAAATTATTCTCCAAGAACTTTTCCATGTATATTTTTTGAAATAAAAATGAGTCATACTAGTTTTTGTGAATTGATTTTTACTCAATAGTTCATGGACTATTACACATTAATATGTAGATTTATTATTTTTGAGGGGTACTGGGGATTGAACTTGGCCTTTTCACTGAGCTACATCCTGATTAATTAATTAATTAATTTTTAAATTTTGAGACAAGGTCTTGCTAAGTCATTAAATTGCCTATGCTATCTCCTTTCTTAACCTCAAAGTGTACTGTGACAGGCATGTGGCATCACCCTGGCTAGATTTTACTTTTTCTTTTCTTTCTTTCTTTTTTTTCAAAACCAGGGATTGAAGTCAGGCCCTTGCGCTTGCCAGGGAAGTGATTATTCTACTGAGCCATCTCCCCGGCCCCTAGATTTTTTGGGGGGTCAGGGGGGTATTGTGGTGCTGGGGATTGAACTCAGGACGTTAGGCTTGCCCAGGCAGGCGCTTATGCCCTTGAGCTATCTCCCTAGCTAGATTTTTTTTTACTTCCAAAAATAAGTCACCAGGCATGCTAACACCTGCCTGTTATCTAGCACTGCCGAGGCTCGCCTCCAGTTCAAGGTCAGACTGGGCTACAGAGTGAGCTGTAGGCCAGCTTGAGCTCCACAGCAAGACCCTGTTTCAAACGCAACAACAACAAAGTCAATGATACCAATTTCATATTTATTTAATCTTGTTTCAACACTTAAATTGTTCCCAGATTTTTACTACTATAAACTACGGTTCAGTGTAGGTTAACAAAACAAGTCTGTGACTAGCTATTGCCTTCATCTAAATTTCTAGTACTGAATCACCATGATAAACTCAGCTTTTTGTAGGCTGTTAGTACACATGGCCAAGAATGCCATACCAAAGGCAGAGCTATATTTAGGGTAATCACACACAACTGTAAAAGAGTGCTTTAGTACTAAGCATGCAGGGGTCCCACGCATGACCGAGGCCTGGCCCAGCAGCTCAGGACATGAGATGCCCTCGTGGCGTCCCCCGCACCAGCAGTCTGTAGCAGTGCCTGCGCCCCACACCTCCAGCCATCGTGATCAGCCCTTTTATTAAATCTGCACCAACTCTACAGAAATTATATATGACAGCACTAGTGTAAGCTATACTTCATTAGTTAGCTGTGGGATGGAGCTTTTTCATGTTTATTTAGGTCACTGTATTTCTCCATTTCATACTGGGTTTTTGTGCTTTTTTTGTGCGCAAGAATAATCTAGATGTGCCAGGAGTTGATTCTTCTTATCAGACATGTACTACTTTCATGTTGTCATTGTGTGTGCTTTCTCTTTGACCTATTTTAGTCATGAATTACAATTTGTTTGCTTCTTTTAATATATATATTATATTGACTATATAGGATGATTATTATAGAAAAATTTGGGAAGGAAATTTGCTAAGGCACTGGGCAATGAGTTAAGAGACAATTGTTTTGCTTCCTCTTGATTTTTGTGTTTTTTCAGTTTTTCTGTAATAAATATGTATTACTTTTATTTCTTTTTTTATCTTTCTTTCAGGGAAAATAAAAGATTCCCTAAGGCATGGGGATATTAGAATCTTTAATTTTTTCACTAATAAATATGATATGTCGGGAAATAACCAGTTCAGGTCCTCCTCCTGTCCCTTTCTTAGACAGGAGCTTTCTTTCCCTCAATAAATATATTCTGCTCATAAAATAAATAAATAAATAAATAAATAAATAATATATGTTTTATCATGTACAACGTGATGCTTTGAAATATATTCATTACTACATGGTTAGATCAAGCTAATTAATATGTGCGTTACCTCACATATCATTTTTGTGGAGCGTTATTTAAATATATTCTGCTCATAAAATAAATAAATAAATAAATAAATAAATAAATAATATATGTTTTATCATGTACAACGTGATGCTTTGAAATATATTCATTACTACATGGTTAGATCAAGCTAATTAATATGTGCGTTACCTCACATATCATTTTTGTGGAGCGTTATTTATGTTATTGTTAATTTGTTTCTTACCACATAAGTTGTAGTACTTGGGTCAGTGTGATGTGTGATTCAGCACTCTTGTCAGATTATAGAAGTAAAAATCTGTGAACAACAGTAGCAGCAACAATAATAAACTCTGGATGCCACTTAGTTAAGAAAGAAAAATCTTCACCAGCGCTGTCCTTGTAGAGGTAACTGAGTTCGACAGCTACTTACTGATGGCCTACAATTCAGTAAACATTTGTTGCGTGCCAGTATGCGCTGTTGCAGTGGGCGCCTGAGGAATGCCAAGGAATTTTAAAATTGAGAATCTGTTCCAGGAGAATCCTTTATCTGTCCTGATGCTGTTCATCTTAAAAAACTCAGAGGAGAAGGTGGTTTCTGTATCTTATTGGGGGCGTAAGAGTCCAAAGCAAAGAGTGATCTCTCAGCCCTTGCAAGCTTGTTTTCAGGTGAGGCTAAATGGGGACCAGTAAGAGCAAAGCCTGCTGGATGTGTGGCCATGCCAGTCATTTCAGCACACGGGAGACTGAGGCAGGAGAATCATCATGAGTTCAAGGCCAACCTGAAGTGGATAGCATAACCCTGTCTCAAAAAAAAAGGCCAAAGCCTTCTTGAACCCCAGCTAGCCCAGGAACACTTCCTTGCCTAAGATTAGGGCCCAGTGTGTACCAAGAGGTGCCCACATCCCTTACCTGCTCTCTTGCTATCTCTCCATCCCTCCTGAGGTCACTGATACTTAGGTCATTTTACTTAACCTTGGCAGACTAACCTCATCAAACATTCCCAAATATGTAAGAGACTATGAATTCCGTAGGCAGCTTGTGATAAAATGTACCCTCTTAAGGGCCAGCAAGATAGCTCAGCAGACTAAGCAACTGCTTAGGCAAGCATAGGGACCAGGGTTCGATCCCTGGTATCACGTGCCACACTGGCCCCACTCCCAGGCGTGCTGGGCCAGCCATGGTGGTGCACATCCCAGCACTGGCAGGCTGAAAACAGGAGGATCACTACAAGTCTGAGCTGCATAGTAAGACCTGTACCAAATACGTTTTTTTAAAAAGTACCCCTTTGGTAAAATAAATGTTCATGTTTTTTCATTTTTTTTCCTTTTAGAACCTCGTTCCATGGCAGAACCAGGTAAAGATCCTCTCAACTTTTATTTATTAATGAGCAAGGAGTGGCTTGATCTGTGTCAGAAAATGTGTTGATCCTAACACTGTGTTTAGATTTTGTTAGACACATGTAAAGATGAGATAGATACAAGTGCTGGTGGACAAAGCACTTGCCCACTAGAAAATACAAGTCACTCATAAAGCAGAACAGAAATATCTGACTGCCCTCTCTGTGGCCACTCTGAAAAATCAGGTTGTATTTGTAATCCTGGGTAACAAAGATGGTTGGAATTTCAGCGTTATAACTCTTCTGACAACAGTAAAGGCATTCCAGAAGGCACTGAGCCTGCAGGTTGTGTAGCTTCACCCTGGGCCCATTGTTTCATAGTGGCAGAAGTAGCTTTAGCTCTGAAGGAACCTATAGGGTGTCCTGAGATGCAGCCAGTTTTTCTAAAGGAGGTCAGGACCTTGTGTTTCGGCATCATGAGGCCCTGAAATGCCAAGTTTCCCCTTACACAACTAATAATTTTGTTTGTTGGGGCCACAGAGTGGCAACCAGAGGACACATAGCTGTCCTGCGTCTCCTCTTCACCGGCCATCAAGGAGTGGCCATGCCGTCATCGCAGGCTCTCACTGCACAGTTCTGTCTGGGAGTCACTTCCATAGTTATTTGCAGGGTCCGCACTGTGCAGCCAAATGACCCCTGAAAGTGCTTTGATCAGCGCGTGTTTGCAGTGTGTGTTGGTCGTACTTCTTGGGGGAGTTGATGGGTCTGCACAATGCCTCTGAATTTCCCTACCATATGGACTTCACTGTCCTTTCATTCAGGATTTTTATTTACTCTGTCAGATAATTATGACTACTTAAGCAAAATATTTGATTATTTTCCAATTTTAAATTGTAGTCCTTTTTTAAAATTACCTTACTATAAAAGCTCCCCATGGCATAATGAGAGATCTGGGTTTAGAAAATGTGCTATTTGAGACCAGCCAAATAGCTAGCTCAGTGGATTAAAGTACCCGTTTAGGCAGACAGGGGCAGAGAGTTCGATCCCCAGACCTGCGTGCTGGCCCTGCCCGGGGCATGCTGAGATGCCTGGAGGCTGGGTATGGTGGTGAAAGCCTGTAATCCCAGCACTCTGGGAGGCTGTAAGCAGGAGGATCACTATGAGTCTGATCTACACAGTGAGACCCTGTACACCATGTACACCCTGTTCCTAAATAAAAAAGAAAAGAAAATGTGCTATTTGGACCTTTAATTTGCTTTTGTGACTTGGTTATAAGTTTATTTTTACTCACTTCCATCTTTGCAATCTGGATTGATAACGTAAAAATAGAAGATAATCTGTTTTCATAATATACCATACAATCTTTAAAAAACAAACCTTGTCAGTGTCTCAGTGTCAGTCTGTCTGCTCAGAGGCATGGGCTCCACCCTTTCACTCAGTTGGGCGGCTAACCAATCAATTCAGCCAAATAATCGTTTTTACCAATTGTTTTCAAAAAACAACTGTAGTCAGCTTTTGTAGACCGCAGATCTGCTGTTGGTGAGTTGCACAGTCCGTTCTCATGACTAAGCCAGTGATGTGTCTGTCTTATTGGCATGTAGAGGAGATCTGCACCTTGGTCATTGCAGAGGTGTTCGCGGAGGACTCCGGCTGCTTTACGTGTACCGCCAGCAACAAGTATGGCACAGTGTCCAGCGTGGCACGGCTCGCTGTGACAGGTGAGGACCCGGGAAAGTGCTGCCTTCAGACTGGCTTGAAAAAGAGCGCACAGGGGAGGGGCAATGTTTACTGCTTCCCACGCAAAGCAAAGATTTACCTCATTCAAGAACGTGGCTTTTTTTTGGGGGGGGGGGCTGGTGAGATGGTTCAGTGGTCTAAAGCACCTACTTAGAACAAGCTTAGCAAAGCACAGGGACTGCGGTTCAATCCCCCAGCACCACATGCCAGCCAGCCCCGCCCCCTAGTGGGCTGAACTGGCCACACACACACACACACACAAAATATAAATAAATAAAATAAATAAATTTAAAAAAAAAAAAAGAAAGTGGCTTTTTTGTTTTGTACTTTTGTTTCCATTCTGTGTTTTGGAGACAGGGTCTCCTTTCATAGCTCAGGCTGGCCTCAAGCTTGTGGTGATCCTCCTTACTCAGCCTCCCAAATGCTGGGATTACAGGCATGCGCCAACATACCAGCTGAGGACAGTATTCTTCTTTTTTTTTTTTTTTTTTAATGTATTTGGTACAGGGTCTCACTACACAGTTTGGACTTGTAGTGATCCTCCTGTTCTCATCCTCCTAGTGCTGGGATTATAGGCATGCGCCACCACATCTGGAGTCAGACACTGGCTCAGCTCGCCCCAGGGGCAAGGCCAGTGTGGCGTTGTGGATTGGAGATTGAACCCTGGTTTCTACACTTGCCAAAGCAGGCGCTTAGTCCACTGAGCTACCTCATGGGCCCAAGGGCAGCATTCTTGAACAATGACAACTTTCAATTTCTTATTGTACGTAAAGCTACCGCCACCACTGTAGTTATCTTGCTGTTGCTCTTACACTTCCTAAGAAAACACCTCCTTGGTCTTATGTGAAGTTCCAAAAGAGAACTTTGATTTTTAATTTTTTTTTTAATGTACTTAGTACATTGTCTACAGGGTCTCACTATGCAGAACAGACTCGTAGTGATCCTCCTGTTTTCAGCTTCTCAAGCACGAGGATTACAGGTGCCCACCACCACGCTCAATCTCAATCGTGGCACTGCACACCAGGGATTGAATCCAGTCCCTGCATCTGCCTAAGCAGGCACCTTAACCTGCTGAGCCATCTGGCCGGCCCAGAACTTTGATTTTAAGTTTAGCTCTTCTCTGCATCTTCACAGTGCTTTAATATGTCAGATCCTGATCTGATTTTGACAAGCACTTTCTGACTTTACCCTCCCCTGACTTGACGCTTTCCCAGCTGTGCACATGCCCAGGACAGGTTCGGGCCCACAGTGGTCTCTACACAAGGCTGACCCGGGATCTATGATTGTCCTTTCAGGGAACGAAGACCTCAGCAACAATGGGGTGCTTCCCCCAGCCCTGTCCACCGGCAGCCTGGCTACCACTGAGCCTCCAGCAGCCCTAGCCAGTCCTGAGCCCCCTCCCACGGAGCAGCCCCCCAAGCCCAAACTTGAAGGAGTCCTGGTAAACCACAACGAGCCCCGCTCCAGCTCCCGGGTTGGGCTGCGTGTGCACTTCAACCTGCCAGAGGACGACAAGGCAAGCGAGGCATCCTCAGAGGGCAGTGTGGTGGCCGCCCAGACCAGGCCCAACTCCTTCCCAGAGCAGCTGGATGGGCAGGCTGCCAAAGGCCCCGAGACGCCCTCACCCGTGAAGGAGCCCCCTCCAGTTCTGGCCAAGCCCAAACTGTAAGTGAGCTCAGAGCGGACAGCAAGTGTGTGTGGGAGCCTCTTGGATCTGACCTTAAAATGACGGCGTGGAGGGGCTCGCCAGATAGCTCTGTGGACTAAAGCGTCTGCTTAGGCAGGCACAGGGACTAGGGTTCAATCCCCCGGGTGCTGTGCAGGCCCCACC